GACAGACAGGCTGCTGACAGACAAACTGCTGACAGACAGGCTGCTGACAGACAGGCTGCTGACAGACAAACTGCTGACAGACAGGCTGCTGACAGACAGGCTGCTGACAGACAGGGGCCAAGGAGAGTCCTCCGGAAGTTTCTGGGCCGAGCATTTCTGCCGTCCGATTAACAGCTTCCCTAAAAACCCCCAGCTGTGCCAAATGGGTGCTCACTTTGGGTCACGTGATGGTCAAACAGAATCTGCAGTGTAGGACCTGCGGCAGGCTTACAGGTGCTTAAGTGAAGCAGACGCTTGGTTAGATGTACAGAAAGGTGACGTGTGCAGCCATTCATCAGGGCTCTGGGCAGGTGGAGGACGAGACAGCCCCCCCCCCCAGCTGAATGCCAGGTGCCTGACACCTTACCCCTGACCCCGCCCCCTGACTAATAGCATCACCATACATTCCTCTGGTGGAATTTAATTTTATTTAGTTTAATTTAAGTTGAATGTAAGAGCTTTGTGTCCCAAATACCCCCAAAGACAGTTCACTGCTTACTGCAGTTTCAGGGGGTCCTGCAGGATGTTCATCCATCCACATCTTCCAGCAATAGGCTGGTGGGAGTGTGTATACAAAGCTGTGGAAAGTTGTGGAAAGTTATGGACTATTTACATTGCCTAATGAAAAGACTGAATCAATATTTCATCACTGGGTCTTTATTTGGGGCGCGTGTGCTCACTATGTTCACCCCGCTTTTATGCGTGTTATGGCACAGGAGGTTTCCAGAAATGTAAACATCATTCTGCTTGTGTGGAGATGTAACACTTCACTTTAGATGGGCTTTCACGTCGTCCCATGAAACACAGACACACATAAGACCTGTAGACAATTAGCCGCAAAATAAGGACGGTGGCTTCCTTTTGTTTGCATTTCTGTCAATGGGCTTTTGTCCAAGGCTCCATTAAATATTCACCAGCCCCCCCCCAAATTGGATGGAGGTATGAGGAATACCTGAATGTACCCCAGTCAAGGTGCTTTTATTGTGGAGCATGAATATTTCAGCATGGGTAACTGAAGAACAGCTTACCGTGTTGTCAGGCTGCACGCTGCAGGCCTGGGGCCCTTCGGGCGTCGCTGGAGGCCCTTATCTTACCCTGCTAACCCAAGGCGGCACTCTGATTGGCCCCTGATGGTGTGGTCACCAGGGGGACACCTGAGTAAGCGGACACCGCACTGGGCCCCCAGTGCGTTCGCTCACTGGGAGGAGGAGGCAGTGAGGTCTGGACAGCTTGGCAGAGCACAGCGGACCCCATGGCTGATCGGAGCTGGGATTAAAACCCTACCCCTGTATTTAAATGCCCCGCTAGCTGCCATGTTCTGAGGCGCCTGGGGGTCCCGGTACCACTGCACCCCCGCGATGCACGGGCTCCCGTGTGCTGCCCTGCGCCACTGCTTTGGCAGCTCTGCCGATGCCTGCGCCGACTGCGCCGAGCCCGAGGCCCCCGGGACTCCCCAGGAGGAGGCTGTTGCCACACAGCCGGGGTGGCAGGAGCCAGAGGAGCCCCAGGGCCACCAAGCGAGGCCCCTCCTGGCCAATGGTTCTGGCTGTGAGTCCAACGGCCACAGCCGCCTGTTCACTAACAGAGCTGGTAGTTCGGGGCGGACCCCCCACCAGCACGAGGTGACAGATGGGAGCCCACTCACACGGACTAACTGCCCCCAGATACCTCGGCCCTCCATCATCAGGCAGCTTAAGGTGAGTTACACTAAAATCAGCACAAAATGTTACACTGTTAGCAGTGCTGTGTTTAATACATTAGCTGTCTTAGTTGTGTTCTGCACAGTAAAATAGCCCCTTTAACTGTGTTTTGCACAGTATGTTACACTGTTATCTGTATTGTGTATAATACATTAGCTGTGTTAGCTGTGTTTAATACATTAGCTGTGTTAGCTGTGTTTAATACATTAGCTGTGTTAGCTGTGTTTAATACCAGGGCTCCCAAGTTTCATCAAAGGTTTGCAGTGAGTTTACACCTGTTAGGGGTGCAGTGTGCGTCTCACAGTCAGTGCCTACCGCGTCCATCGTATCTTGCCCTCCACTCCCACCTCGTCTGTTCTCCATGTGTGCATTCATGTAATAATGTGCTTGCAGTGGGATCACATGTAACTTATTTACCCATAAAAAAAATGCTGTCTTCTGATTGGCTGGTAGGTGGCTATTAACTTGAGACAGCTATGAACTAATAATAATAATAATAATACATTTTATTTAAAAAGGCGCCTTTCTGACACTCAAGGTCACCGTACAGGCATACATAAAAATTTATACACACTACAAAAG